GTAAGACAGGGGGAACACGTGGCATGTTTGGTATGTCACTGAGTTGTAGGCTTGTTGACCTGGCTTCGTCCTGTGACCCCTCTAGTTCAGGTTTGCCTTCCATGATCACCTTGAGCGGTTCTAGGGGTAAAGGGGCTCTCGTCTGTTGTGAGTGGTTGCCACACTGCCTGGGTAAGGGGATCGTCCGTCTCTCCATCTCGGAACACACTGGGCCTCATGTTACTGAGAGCACCGCTTGTATGCTCCATTCAGGTCACAGGCCTCTGTATCAGTTCCCAGCTCTATCGTGGGTCCTTAGCTGTCACCTAGTTTGAGCTGTATGGGGTTGAAGAGATATTTAATTTCCCCAAGTACTGAAGAAAACACGTCTCTCCTCCATGTTAGTCAGGCCCTGCCCTTCCCCTCCTCCCCCAGTAGTCCTTTAACAAAAGGACTTACGAATGTCGAAAGTGCCAATGTTCCAAAGGGTCAAAGTTCTGAAGTGGCGAAGTTCAGTAATTTGGAAGTGCCGAAGCTTTGAAGTGCCAAAGCTCCAAAGTGCCGAAGTGATTCGGATTTCTGAAAAGTGGCAAAACAAGACACGGAGGGAAAATTACGTGAATGATGACAGGAATCTTGACCAATAAGTTAATTCTTTTTGTGCAATGTAATGCTTGCTTGCCCAATCCGGTTTCACTATTCCCTGTCCAATGAAATTAGCACATTTTTGTGATTGATGTTAGAGGACAGCCAATTAATGGTGATTTTGTCACTGACACTGGGCCAATGAAGGCACACATAGTCATTGAGGTGGGATAGTATATAAATCAGGCTGTCAGGGTGTTGACTTGCATTCATGTGACCAGACTAGTTGTGATAGCACAAGAGACATAGAGATAAATTACATTACATCTATGGTACTTTACTTGTTGCAAACTTGGGGAGCCACATTGCTTTAAGTGTGTGAGAGAGAGAGAGAGAGAAAGAGAGAGTGAGAGAGAGCATGAGCGAGAGTTTTGCCTTTTTTTTCTTCTGCATTTTGTTTCTTTTTTTGAAGGGGGGGGGGGGAGATAGAGAGTGTGTGGATGTGCAAACCAGGTAGTCTGATTGCCAGGGTATCTCTCTGCTGCACTGTGACTTTGCTACAGTGATTAATTTTGTGTTTTTTAGTTTTCTGTGATTTAATTTAAATAGAAGTTTTATAAAACAAAATAAACCATAATGGATCGTCCACGTCCTCCTCACATTCTCCCCTCTCTCACTTGCTTGTTCACACACAAATTGCTCACTCTCTGCTCACGCTCTGCTCCTAAACTCTCCACAAAGATTGTGTCACAGGGGTGGGATTATATAGTGTGCAGAAGTGTTGCATGCTGGTAGTGTTCCCTTATTGGCTGCACTATCTGTGCAGTGAAAATATAATTTTGTAAATTGTATATATACTAAACTAACACTACTAAATATTAACTAAACCCAGACCATTTCTTTAAAGGACCACTCTAGGCACCCAGACCACTTCAGCTTAATGAAGTGGTCTGGGTGCCAGGTCCAGCTAGGGTTAACCCTTTTTTTTTTATAAACATAGCAGTTTCAGAGAAACTGCTATGTTTATGAATGGGTTAAGCCTTCCCCCTAATCCTCTAGTGGGTGTCTCATTGACAGCCACTAGAGGCGCTTGCGTGCTTCTCACTGTGATTTTCACAGTGAGAGCACGCAAGCGTCCATAGGAAAGCATTATGAATGCTTTCCTATGTGACCGGCTGAATGCGACCGCAGCTCTTGCCACACGTGCGCATTCAGCCCAGGAGGAGGAACGGAGGAGGACTGGAGGAGGAGAGCTCCCCGCCCAGCGCTGGAAAAAGGTAAGTTTAACCCCTTTTCCCCTTTCCAGAGCTGGGCGGGAGGGGGTCCCTGAGGGTGGGGGCACCCTCAGGGCACTATAGTGCCAGGAAAACGAGTATGTTTTCCTGGCACTATAGTGGTCCTTTAAGATTAAGTGGTCTGGTGCTGCTGTGGTCCACTATGCAATGTAAAACATTGCTGATTAAGAAAAAAAAAACACAAATGTTTATTTTCAAAATGAACGACATTCCGAACTGCCGAATGCCTGAAACAAATGACATACTGAATGCCAAATGCTCCAAATGAATGCCCAAATGCTGCGTGCCCAAATGCTGAATGTCAGAACCGAATGCCATTCAGCAGTTCCGAAGTGCCAAACCGAACCAAATGCCATTGGTCCGAATTGCCCAAGCAGACAAATTATTTTTACTTACCCGAATTTCGGAACTGTACCGAACCGAATATTTTGCCCATGCACATCCCAAGAATATAAAGAGGATTTCTACATTTAAAGGGTTACTCCAGTTACTACAGTGATTTGAAGTGGTCATGGTACTTGATGTTTGTATGTGTAGCACTTTGTTATGAAACATTGCAAATACATAGTTTAAACCCTTTGAAGCATTATTAGGACGTCATTAAGCAACTTGAAACAAGAATTGGACGTCAATCATCTGCATCCACTGCGCGCTGACAAGAGGCGTCCAATGGCAGCAGGCAACCCTCACAATGCCTCGTATTCCTACCCTCAGTGCGTCCTCACTGATATCCCTCCCCTGCAGCGTGGGAGATGAAGTTAACAGCAGAGGAGTGGGATGCAGAGAGTACTTGACCTGTCCAGCACAGCAAGGGTTACTCTGTCCAAACACTGTATTTTGGTTGGAGTTACCCTTTAATTTTATTTTCCACTACTCACAAATGCATATGTGCTAACGATAGGGAAAGTAAACACAGTATAAAAAAATCCTGAGGAGTCAAGATTCTCCTTTAAAAATGCTTCAACTACAAACATTTTAATATAAACTCAAAAGTTAAATCAAATATGGCATCACTTAGTTCTGTTTTATTTCATTTCCATTCTAAAATAGTCATGCATTGATTTAATTGAATTAAACCAATTCAATCAGCCATATTTATTGTATATTGTATATATTTATTGGAGACATATATTGGTCTGCGGACAGATTCCTTTGTATCCAGCAAACCCTCTGTGTATTGTAGGACCGGTTTCAGTTTACTGGGTCTCAAATGAGTTCTTGATTGCTACATGTTCCAAAAAGTGAAAACTACTCAGTATTATACTTTTTGTGATACTGATAAATCTTGCTTCCATGGGGTGATTATCAGGGCCGGACTGGCCCACCGGGATACCGGGAAATTTCCGGTGGGCCGTCGGCACCTGGGGCCGGCCCTTTAAATACTGCAGCCGCCTGAGCGCTCTGTGAAGAGCGGTCAGGCGGCTGCAGCTTCTCCCCTCCCCTCCCCTTCCCTCCCCTGTAGCGTGGCCGAGCTGCACTCCGGTCCGCGGTGGCCAGCCGGAGTGATAGGAAGGGGCACACTGAGTGTGCACTTCCTGTCAGTCCGGCCGGTTACAGGAAACAGAAACTCCTGTTCCGCACGGGGTTTCTGTTTCCTGTAACCAGCCGGACTGACAGGAAGTGCACACTCAGTGTGCACCTTCCGATCACTCCGGCCGACCACCGCGGACCGGAGTGCAGCTCGGCCACGCTACAGGGGAGGGGAGGGGAGAAGCTGCAGCCGCCTGAGTCTCTTAACAGAGCGCTCGGGCGGCTGCAGTATTTAAAGGGCCGGCCCAGGAACGCGGCCGGCCCCCAGGTGCCGCGGCCCACCGGGAAATTTCCCGGTATCCCGGTGGGCCAGTCCGGCCCTGGGAGGAAGGGGTGAGACACAGGGAAAGGAGGGGGAGATAGATGGGGAGGAGGGGGGAGAGACACAAGGAAAGGGGGGGAGAGAGATGGGGAGAGACACAGGGAAAGGGGGTAGGGAGAGAGATGGGGAGAGACACAGGGAAAGGGGGGAGGAGGGGAGAGACATAGGGAAAGGGGGAGGGAGAGAGATGGGGAGGAAGAGACACAGGGAAATGGGGTGAAAGAGGCAGAGGGGGAAGAGAGAGACAAAGAGGGAGAAATGAGAGAGAGACACACAAGGGGAGGGGAAGAAAGAGGCAGAGAGGGAAGAGAGAGACTGGGAAGGAGAGGGGAGACATTGACAAAGAGGAGCAGTGAGGGGGAGAAAGAAGCATACAGAGTGACTGGGGGAGACAAAAAGGCACACAGAGGGGCTGGCGATAAAGAGACACACATAGGGGCAGTATATATCACAAAGCCCCCAAGGCTTTCCCCTGCCGGCCGATCTCCCTCCCCGTTCCACAGGCACCGTGCAGCCAGTCGGCAGGGGAGGAAGAGAGGACATGGGGCAACGCTCCGGCTCTCACGAGGGTGAACTCTAGCCCTGGAGCTACGGGCTAGAGTTCACTCTCACCACTTCCTGGTGGTCCCAGTAGTAGGAGTGAACTCTAGCCCCATACACACACTGCCCCACACACACACCATACACATTCACACACTGCCCCCACACACACACACACATACACATTTACACACTGCCCACCCACACACTGAACCTTTCACACACATTGCACCACTGCTCCTATACCCTACTACAGCCCCATATCCCAGCAGACTCCAGGTAAGGTGTCAAACTGTTCTTAAACGGTTTGACGACTTACTCTGGGAGGGGGTGCCGACGCTCCTGGCATCATAACCACTACACAGAGGAGTAGTGGTTATTGTGCATGGAATATTTCTTTAAATAATCTACAAGTGCCCCTCTCAGGCTCAGGCTCTGGATCCGCCATTAGTATATGACATGTATATTAATGTGTGTATTAGTTTTATATCTCTATTATATTTACACATATTAATGTACATTTATAAATGCATAATACACAGAGAAATTTCATTAATATGTACCATATGTAATGAGCAGATATTGGCCCAGTCTTGTTGCTAGGTGCATACTCCAGCACAATAACATATTTAAAGTGAAGAGCACACCCACAGGACTTCAAAATAAACATTTTTTACAGTTGTGCCCTACATACATTCACCATTTCAGTCCCATTAACAAGCTTTCCTTAATATGTCAAGGTAGTTGGACTGAAACATTGATTACATGCAAAGGCACGTCTGCTTAAAATAAATCTGCACTTTTGTTTGTTTTGAAGCCTATGAGAGCGCTTTTTACGTTGAAGTACTTTTTAATTTTAAGTTATCTGTTCTAACTCTGTATCTGCACACTATGCTGGCGCGATGCATTATGGGGCTGGTAAATATTTTTTTTCCAGGGCTGCTTTTAATTCCCAGTCCGGCCCTGCATGGAGCCCATTCGCATGAGAACTGACTGTGTAAAGACTTTGGCTCCATGGCGATTACACTGTATTCGTGTGGTCTGAGCGCCATTCGCTTAATAATGTGCGCTCAGACCTGAGCTATCTGGGGATATGTTAAATGTATAGTTTTATTGTAATTTGTGTCATATTTTACTGATAGAGACTGATTGCTAGGAGTGCTTTTCCTATTCGTCTGCTAGCAGCGATTCGTATGGTTCCAGTTCGTGTGTTTGGAGTGCTATATTGGATGCCGTTCGGGAGTTTGGAGCATTCCCTTATTGGCGGTTCGTGAGTTTGGTGTTTTACAATAGCTGTGCCTGCATCTCTGGAAAGGGGGCCGATCGCCTAAACGGTTTTTACCCCTTGTGTGCAAAACGGTCCGTTACAATTGGTGGCAAGCGGCGGGATCGTTCCCACAGACAAAAGGACAGCTACAGGTGACACCATTCCATGGATTTTTTACAATTTGAGGGCAACGCATGCCCCAGTACAGCGACCCTGACAGCACCAGGATGGAACCAGCAGTGGAGTATGATGAGGGTGCCCTGGATGACCGAGATGCGCTGCGCAAAGGCATCTGGTACCAGGCACTGGGTATTGTGGAGTACCAGTGGGGCGAGAGACTCCCCAAGAAAGACCAGCGACTGCAGAAGCGAGTAGCCCTGCGGATGCCCTTTTTGGGAGAGCAGCCCCTGGATGAATGTGTGGAGGAATTGGAGCTCTGAGTATGGCAGGAGATTTGGCTGGAAGATGCCTACCAGGCGCTCTGGTGGTATGGGGCACAGTACCTGCCCTGGACCGCCGAGGATGACAAGCCAGAAGGAGTGGAGTTTGATGGTCCTGGCTTGTTATGGGAGGCTTTTTCAGAGCCTGAATTTGGGAGCCCTATATAAGCCCGGTTCAGTGATCTCTTGGAGTGAAGGGAGAGCAGGTATGACTGGGACGACACTCACGACATTGAGCAAGACCTGGCTCACCTAGCAACCCTGGAGTGGGAACTGAAGCAGGACTACCGAGATCTCTTCCACTCCATTGATAAGATTCAGCAGGACAGCAAGGTGACAGATCCAGTTCCAGACCCATTCAGCTGGGAAGACATTGTTGATATTTTCTGGGAAGAACCCCAGTTGGCCGGTAGAGATGGGACCGAGGTCTCTCAACCGGTCCTGCAGGGAATTGGGAGCCCAGTCTCCATTCCCCAGCGGCCGTGTGATTTATTGGCTTGTTATGGGAGGCTTTTGCAGAGCCTGAGTTTGAAGGCCTACACAAGCCCGGTTCAGTGATCTCTTGGAGTGGAGGGAGAGCAGGTATGACTGGGACGACACTTACGAAATTGAGCAAGACTTGGTCCACCTGGTGACCCGAGAGATGGAGCTGGAGCAGGGCTACCAAGATCTGTTCCACTCCAGTGAGAAGGCTCAGCAGGGAAGCGGAGACCCAGATCCAGACCCATTCAGCTGGGTAGATATTGAGGAGGATTACTGGGAAGAACCCCAGGTGGCGTGTGGAGATGGGACCGAGGTCTCTCCACCGGTATTGCAGGAAATTGGGAACCCGAGCTACATTCCCCAGCGGGAGATATTGCAGGGAATTGGGAGCCCGAGGTCCATTCCCCAGCGGGAGATATTGCAGGGAATTGGGAGCCCAAGCTCCATTCCCCAGCGGGAGATATTGCAGGGAATTGAGAGCCCGAGCTTCATTCCCCAGCGGGAGATATTGCAGGGAATTGGGAGCCCGAGCTCCATTCCCCAGCGGGAGATATTGCAGGGAATTGGGAGCCCAGGCTCCATTCCCCAGCGGGAGATATTGCAGGGAATTGGGAGCACAAGCTCCATTCCCCAGCGGCAGGCTGAGTTACAGGGGGCAGAGACAGGTGGTCCTGTCCCACAGCGGCAGTGTACCTTGCAGGGAGAGGAGAGCAGCGTCCTCCCTCCCCAGTGGCAGGGTGAGCTACAGGGATGCTGGGCAGTCGGCTCAGATCCCCAGCGGCAGTGCAAATTATTGGGAATTGGGAGCCCAGTCTCCATTCCCCAGCGGCAGAATGATTTATTGGGAATTGGGAGCCCAGTCTCCATTCCCCAGTGGCAGAGTAATGTACCGGGGGAGACTGTAAGCCCCACAACTGTGCAGATGGGACCGTGGTCTCTGCACATCCAGCACAGGGGTAGGTACGGTCGGTTCTGCCCATCGGTCTCCAGCAGCAGAGCTGTGTGTCCAAAGGGGAGACAGTCGGTCTCCAGCAGCAGAGTTATGTGTCCAAAGGGGAGACAGTCGGTCTCCAGCAGCAGAGCTGTGTGTCCAAAGGGGAGACAGTCAGTCTCCAGCATCAGGGCTGTGTGTCTAAAGGGGAGACAGTCGGTCTCCAGCAGCAGGGCTGTGTATCTAAAGGGGAGACAGTCGGTCTCCCCCTCCAACAACCAGGCTTCAACCAGGCTACCTTCCCAGTAGCGCTGGCAACAGGGCAGAGTACCGCTAGTCTCTGTCCACGCAGCAACCCACCAAGTCAGCATACCCGTACCCAGCTCAGCCGTGGTGAGGCACCTGGACAAGCTTCTCCTCTACCCAAGTGTAGTAACCATTTATTGTGGGTGGGCTGTGCTGTTGATTGTGTTTTGTGGGTGGGCTGCTGGACTAACAAGGGCACTGACCGGCAGGAGGTCAGATACCCTGTTAGTCTGTTTGGAAAAGGGGAGAGATGTGACGAGAGCACTCTCGCCACATTGCATTGGAGAAGCCTGGTTGCTCGCCTGTTGCCTTTAGACTATGGCCCAATGTTAAAAGACTTGTTTTTTACCTGCAGAAAAGATTTATTCGTGCTTTTCTGCCTGGTGTTAGGTAAATTGAATCTAGCGAAAAACCGCACGAATGACTGGACCACCAGGGAGCTGGAGTGTGTTATACCACAGATAGGAATCCCATGGAGCCCATTCGTATGAGAACTGACTGTGTAAAGACTTTGGCTCCATGGCGATTACACTGTATTCGTGTGGTCTGAGCACCATTCGCTTAATAATGTGCGCTCAGACCTGAGCTATCTGGTGATATGTTAAATGTATAGTTTTATTGTAATTTGTGTCATACTGTGTATTTTAATAGTAATTCATGTTTTAGTATCCCCACGTGCATAATGGCGATTTGCCTTTGTCTTGGGAGATAATTGAATTACTTCTCAATTATCTCCAAGGCAGAGGGGAGGAAGCCATGATGCATTGTGGGAATATAATGTGACTGTGTGTCCTATTTGTCTACTTGTCTCTCCTTTGTGACAGTCTCCCATTGGGTCCCATAGGGGAGTGTCCACAAGGTGGGAAGCCTGCATAAATACTGGGCAGGTAGCCCTCATTAAACAGACCACTGCTTGACCCTCAACACTGAGCCTTGTCTCGTCTTTGGGGGGATTTACTGAACGCTGATAGAGACTGATTGCTAGGAGTGTAAGCCGCTTGGATGCTTTTCCTATTCGTCTTTTCAAATAATTTTTATTAAAGTTTTTTGTATAACAAATGATAATAATACAAACATTGTATTAGGGGTAGGAAAGGAGGGGTAACTTGGAAATGGGAAGGGGTATCCATCCATCAATGAAATAAACATAAAGTATATGGCAAAAAGAAAAATGTTTTACATCAATGCACTTTAACAATAAATATATCAAAGACCATAAACTGTTTTGATTTTTTTCTTCCCATTTATCCCAATTATATTTTAATATTGGGAAACCATGCATATTGGCTCTGTGTGATAATTCATGTGCCTTATTTTCTAAAATCAAATTAAAAACTTCTCTGAGAGATGGCACATTTTAGGACTTCCAATGTCTAGGTAAACAGGATGTAGCAGCGATCAGAATGTGGCCTATGATTATTTTATCTGATCTATTAACGGACTCCGGGAGTTTTTTAAATAAGGCTAGTTCCGAGGTTAAGATACTAATGGTTCTGTTCACTTTTATAATCAGATCGTGGATCATTTTCCAATAATTAATTAACTTGGGGCAGAACCACCAGATATGGGCCATATTGCTGACTCCCCCACAGTCTCTCCAACACCGGTCAGAATACATATTGTTCATGGTGTGCAATCTAGACGGAGCCAGGTACCAGCGATATAAGATTTTATAATGATTTTCAAAATGGTCGGTGCAATACGAAATACCTTTTAAACCTTTAAAGAAACCGAACCATTCTTCTAAATCTCAGTGGGCACCCAACTCCGTCTCCCATGACAGCATATGTTTTAATTTAATTAAGGGCTTGGCATTATGAGATAAGTAACATAAGGATATCATACCTTTACTAGCGGGGCTGTATAAAAAAAACTTTCTCTAAACGAGATAACTCAAGTGATTTATAGTTTTTATCTGTACCTGGTATAGTTATTTCAGTTTATCAATGATTAGCATACATTCCATTTCACATACATTTGACAATCCATACTTAAGCTTCAATTTTTCCAAAGAAAGAATAGCATTGCCATAAAAACAATTGTCCAGATTAGAGCAATCCTTCAATAATTCTATTTTTAAGGATGGTATATAATCTTTCAATAACTCAATAGGCATTGCTCTATATAAACTGGGAGACTGGTCATTTTTATAAACAATGTCCCAGGCCTTAAGCGTAGTCTTGGTAGATAAAAATAATTTAGTAATTCCAGGTCTTTTCTTAGAATTTAACCAAGGTAATTCTGATAATCTAACCGGTAAATTTTTTGATTCCTCTATTTCCATCCATCTGGGTTTATCATCCTGATTGTTAAAGCTCACAACCACTGCAGCGTAAGTGGCGAAATAATATTTGCAGATATCGGGGACACCGATACCGCCGTTCGATTTATGGTGCTGCAGGGAAGTGAGCCTCACTCGGGCAGGCTTGTTCCCCCAGATAAATTTCAACATTGTCGAGTGGACTTTATTAAAAAATGATATGATGGAATGGACAGAGGAGTGGTCCTAAAAAAATATAACATTTTGGGGAGTATCGTCATTTTAATAGATGCGACCCTCCCCAGACATGAGAGCTCCATCCCACCCCATCTCTCCATCTCTTTTTGTAGGTCTGACCATGCTTTCCTCAAGTTTTTGCATAAATTTTTGCATAAATTAAT